CCTGTATAGTGTAAGATAAACGGTTAAGTATACTGTATATCAGATAAGTACCTAAAAAATAAACTGGAAGTATACTCTTTTATATTTTTAGTTTAAAATTAGTACACTTAAAAGAAACTTGCATATATTATGTTTTGGTAAAGGTAACTCACTGGTTTATTAAATTTTGCTCAAATTTGACACCAAAACACCACAAATCCAGTCAATGATTCACTTCCTCATAAACCTGAGTCAGGTACCAATGCAGCGACGAAGACATCATTGCTCACGGGACTTTTACCAAACGACTCAAGCTCAGACACAGAGCTTCTGAAACAGTGTTTTGTTTTTATCAATACATGCACCGTAAATTCACTATCACTATAAATAAATCGTTTCTCCTTTGATCTTCAAATTCTGCCTCCTCTGGTTTAACTCTACAAAACCAGACAGAAACAAGCTGTTGACAGACAAACAGTAATATTCACCGTTCTAAAGGCACTAAGAGGAAACACTGTTGTCAGTAAATTTATTTGACCATCGTTTCTTAGGTCATTTATACAGAGAAAGAAGTTTACAGTTTGCTGTTTTTCATTTTCTTTATTTTCATGTTTTACAGTTACGTAATAAGTTTTAAAGCAAACAAAGCCTTCCAGAATGTGTTTTTTGATCATTTCTTTTCCTTCCTGTCAGTATTCATGAGAGACTCAAACCTGAAGCTGACTGTGAACCCAGCGGTGTGTCCTTTAAAAGTGACCACTCAAAGGAGGATGGGCTTTACTTTAAATCAGTTCAATACACTGCTGCTAAAAGGTGAGTTGTGTCTAAAACTTTATAAAGTAGTAGATAATAAAGAATNCATTTAAAAGAGTCGATCATCAGATATTGTCCAAGATTAACCTTCAGGGTGGATATAGCTCGCTAGCAGCCTCGCACTGAGGACATATCCACGCCATCATTTACCCAGAATGCTTTGCGAGTAAATAAAATGGCTCTGTCCGTGTTAAAATATATTTTAAAAAATGCACAAAACTAAACAGCCTACAGTATTTTTACAATTAAAGTATATGTTTATCAAATAAAGTCTAATGTTACAACTAGTCAGGGATCCCTTTAAGCAAATTTCAAGGTTTGTGTCAGCACAAATGCCTGACATTGACAGTCAAAAAATGTGGTGTAAAGGTCATAGTTTGGCCATGTTGACCATAAACTTCTCTCCAAACAGCCGACCATCAATTAGCTGAAGCTCGGACCATATGGAGTCATTTTTCTACAGAACAATCATCCTGTCACAGCAACTAATCTACAACAGAATGGCTTCAAATTAAAAGGATCAAGTAATGGTCCAATATATCGACCCCCCCCCCCCCCCCGCAGCCTGACTGGCGTGTATTTCTGCAAATATCAACAAACTGAAGCGATGTTGAACAAAAATATAGACTAATACCGATGTGAGTGAGTGATGAAATCCAATAAAAAGAAGAGTGTTATTGTTTGAAAGAGGCCAAGAAAAAAACCCTGCAAACCTAACTCTGAGATGTTCTGTAAAATATAAATAAAAACAGAAAGGAATGATTTGCAAATCCAGTGGTGGGTTCTGCTAATCAGCCAACAGATTAGCTTCTTCACATACTTTGCAAACTGTTAGCGGAGTTAGCATCTGCAAAATTAGTTTTTGCCAATTTTAAGTCTACTAACAGCTAACAAGCTAACATCAGCAGGTTTGTGTCAGTCCCACCACCCTTCAGCTGGAAGGAGACAAAGATGTGAGACTTAGAGGTTAGCTGTTTAGCATTAGCTTCTGTTATTACATTTTTAGCTTTAGTTAGCAGATTATGAGTTATCAAACTAACTTTTTGGTTAGCTGTGCCCACCACAGTGCAAATCTCATAACCCATATTTTATTCACAGTTTTTCTGGGGCTTCTTTCCTGCACTGTTTGCTATATGGGAGCAGTTTTTGTTCTAAAACTTGTCCCCTTGTTAATGTTGCTTTTCCATATGTGGGAGCCCCCCATACCAGAGGCACTAATGTACCACCATATCATCAGAGAGGTCAGACAGGGTGGATGCTTCTTCTAGTTTTAATGGGTTTGACACACGGGAGGTGATGTCTCTCTCTCTCCATTC